CCTTACCTAAAGCACGAATACAGGATAGGATTTCATGGTCAACTGACTACTCCCTAGCTTTCCCAACATTTTTGCAGTCCCCATGTCCCCATGGTGCTTGCTTCTTGCTCTTTGCATTGGGCTGTGTGCTCACAGCTTCACCTTGTACCAGCGCTTACCTACCCCTTGCTGAGAGCTCTGCAGGTGCACTGGGTGCAGCTCTGCACTGAAGTAACCATGCAGGGGACAGCTGGCCTGAAGAAACCTCAGAAGCTTCAGAGTTAGGCAAGGCTGGTGACAAGTTGGGCTGGGCTCTGCTGTTATACCAGGTAGTGTGGCGGAACAGGGGCTTGGACAGCCTAGTTAGGAATGCGACTGGCTGCTCAGCAGCATAAGCACAGCTCCCAGCCCTAGGTCTGCTATGTGGTCCCTGCTGCCTCCCCTAACATCACCTTTGGTTGTAGGACACACACTGCAGGGAAGCTCCGGGCCCCACTGCCACTGTGGTTCTGGGGGAAATCACAGCTCCCAGGGGAAGGAAGGATGGGTACAGCATGGATGCTATGGGCTCTGCCTCCCCAGTCAATGGCCTGGACCTGCATGTGCTCCTTGGGAGCACTGCCCACAGCTGACCCCCAAGCTCTGCACAGCTAGGAGCTGCCCCCATAGCCAGGGACAGCTCTCCCCTGCCACCCGGATGCCAGGCATGACCCCAGTGATCCCTGCCAGCCTGAGGCTGCTCCCAGTGCTCCCTGCAGCTCAGGGCTGGTACCCAGGGGTGGGGGAGCCTGAAGCTCCTCCTACAGCTGTAGGGGGGCAGAGCAGGGCAGGTGCAGCCCTAGACTAGGTTGGTCCTGTCAGGCTCAGTTTGCTCCCAACTTGGGTGCACATTTATATGTGCACCCAGGAGCAATTTAATGAGCCTGAATTTACTGCACAGTAAATTCGAGTGCATTAAATACACATGTTGATGCACCCTGATAGTTGTAGAACTGTAGATGTGCCTAAAGGAGCAATTCAACTGGTTCAGGGCATCTGAGCTTCTGCAGTCTGTAGTGTCTTGATGAGGCTCATGGCATGGAAATAATGTTTTAACATTTGAAGGAACTCAGAGAAAGAACTATTTACAGTAAAGAAGCAACAGCTTTGCTACTGCCCTGTCACTGTCATGTCATATCAGGAAGATCCTCACCCAGACTGTTTCTTGGGACATCACACTTCCTAGATATTCTGGGTTTTCAGCAGGAGTTATTCTGTTATGCAGTCAGCCATGACTCTGAAGAAATCTATTTTTCCTACATTTTACTGTCCAAAAACATGGTGCATGCCTTATCTGGGGCCATGTGATATATGAGAAAATATGGTACTACCTCCCAAATGGGAAGTGATATCACTAGATTACTGCATGGTGCTGTGGGTGGACTAATTAGCTAATTAGTTCATATCTGAGTATGTCACTATTTTGCACTGTGCAGAGTTGTCTGGGATAGTTCTATACATGCTAGTACCCCTGAAACGAAAACAGTATAACCACATTAATATGGTGATATGCCTGAAACTCCCAGCAGAACTAATTAGCTTACCCTCAGAGCCATGCTAGAGTGGCTATGTTACATGACTGCTGCTTCTGGTTAAACTATTTTTGGTTTGGGAGGTTCTACTGATCAGCTTGTGAGCGCATAGCTCGTACTAAGTAGAGGGTAAAATGTAAGCATTTCCAAAAGACTAAAGATGCATTATGTATACTGCCATATACACGTACATAGGCAAATTTCTGCTCACCTCCTCACACAAATAGTACCTTTGTATTATTTTCATTGTTTATATTATTGCTTAAGTCTCACTTTGTGTACATAAAGGCCAATAGCAGAATTTATATCTTAATTCCAAGTGAATTCTTGAGACAGAAATGTCATAACTTGTAAGAAACCAAGAAAATATAACTGCCAAATGAAATCATGTGACCCACAACCCATTCTCCATTCCAGCCCCAAACAGCTGAGGGTTACAGCACGAGCAACACAGCCCAGTTCTCTTATTTAATTCGTAGATCCTGAATTTGACTTTGGCCAGGATGGCATTCATCATAATTGCACATGTTTTTAAAAACATGGCAAGGCAAATGAAGACAAGCAGAAGAAGGAACAGTGTTTTGAGAAAAGTCTGCAGGCTGGGTATAACAGACACTCTGAAGCTGCAGCTTTCTCTGAAAAAAAATGGAAAACCTGGCACAAAGAAAAATATTGTTTTTAGATACTTACAGCAGTAATTATTGGAAAGCTGACCACAGCACTGAGGTAGTGATTGGCTATGAACCAACAGCAATTGGCTATTGCCCAAAGTATACCAGACGTAAATCCTAAAAACAATAAATCACAATCATAGAAAACTACGTCCAACAACACTTTAGGCTATCTACTGCAAGTTGTGAAAGATCAACGTACGTATAAACAATGTAAAACAAGATTGAAATATTTTAGTATCTTTAAAACATTAACAAATTTATTAGATTATTAAATTTCAACTCATAAGAAAGATTACCATCTCTGATGGAAATACCCAATTAATTAAGATTTATAATTTCTTGGGTGCTGATGTACTTTTCAATTTCCATCTTTTCTTAGTTTTGGCAAAATGTCTACATTAACAAATCTCTGTATGGCACTTCACATTTCAGATTGGACCACTACTAATTACTTTCCCTTAATAAATATGCCCTTTCATAAGATTTCAAATGAACAAACTCCCAAGAGCTACCTAAATTCCCCCAAATATGGCTTGTACTAATTCTAGTAGAAGAGTTGAGGTGTTAAGAGAAAGTAAGTGAAATGAACAGCCACATAAAAATTGTCATACCTGGTAATATAGCTTCAGGGTAAACTTTAGGTTTATTTTTCATGACCATACAGTAGATCAGAAAGTAGATGGTACTTGTAAGGAAGATTCCACTAAAGTGTGCAAAGACATAGTCTAAATCTGAAACAGAAGTTGTAAAGTCAATTTCTAAGATCTTACTTTGGTTATTAAGAGTATTTTACTGAATTTATTATATGACATATCAGGCATACTATTCATAAGTATAAAATGCATTCATAGTAATAATCTGAAGTTTGCTCATGGCTGCACTGTCCACATGTAATACAAATATGCCTGCAAATATGGCTATAGCTGGAGTTAGTCCTACCTGTTTAAATTAAATATGGGGCTTCGGTGCATTGACCATATTATCCACAAGTAGTTTTCTCACCAACACTTTCATGCACTTTTCTATGCATTTATGCTTTGAAACTTCTTATTTAAACCTCAATTCTCACCTCAGTTCTACTGCATTATCCACAAAAAGTCTCTCTCATGGCATCTAATATAATAGATTGTTACCTACAAAAATTCATAGCTCTCTGAACTAGTTAGTCTCTAAGGGTGCTTATATATGAGCAGTGAGGCTCCTTCAATACACTGTAGTTCCAGCGTGTTGGAGCAGACTTGGTTAATCGAGTCTCCTGGAGCGTGGCAATTACTGTGCTCCAGCGGCCTCCCATGTGTCATGTATCAGTGTCACTATGCTTCAAACTGGCAGCGGGGGTGCTTTATTTAAAATTTGTTTGATGAGCTTGAAAGCGCCTGCTCTGCCATTTTGAAGTACGGGGATGCTGACATATGAGACACTCTAGTTGCTCTGATCAGAGTGGCTCTTAAAGCCACTGTAATTAAAGTGCACCCCTCCCCCTGTCCCAACTCCTGGAACATGTATATAAACACCCTAAGATGCTACACTGCCCTACTTTCTGCCTGATTTCAGACTAACATGGCTAACCACCATTCTACAAAAAAATTTTATATCAGTTTAGAAGCTACTGAAATTTATGAAGGACTCAACTGAGTGAATCTGTAATCCAATGGCCTGCAGCCTATCTATATCCTTCCTCCTCCCTCTCCTGATGTATGCAATATGCCATTGTTTTGTCATTCACATGTTAAACTCTTTAGAATAGGGATCTGCTTTTCATGTATCTATAGTGAAGTCTGTAGTGCACTTGTGGTCACTATAAAAATAAATGAGCTCTTTATGTAGTGTGCTTGTGCAAGCACTGACAAAAAGAAAATGTATGATATAACATGGCAGACACTGTAGCATGTTGGTGTCTGTTTCATTCTGTTTCATTCTGCCACAGATGGAAAAAGGCAATGAAACAGTCGTCTAGTTTCCACTGTATTATAAAGTGCTATGTTCAGTAAGAGACAGAGTGTATATGATAACAGTTACAGGGTTTTAGTTAATCACTATTTCTCAGTAAACTGTATTATGTTTGCCAAATCTTCTGCATTAATTTGGCAATCAGCTCAGCAAGAACTGTTGGAAACTCTTTGGATCTGGTTCTTTCTTTGAGCTTATAGTTTTTTGGTGGCTAGTTTGCTTCCAGAGAGCATTACAAGGGTATAGTGCATCATCTCTCTACTCAGATACCTTACAATAAATGAAATGCAAGTAAGATTTTTTCCCTCTTCATGTAACTTCCCTTTGGAAGACAATTAGGAAGCAGAGAGATGGCTAGAATTAGTGCCTTGGGATAGCTAAGCAATGGATAGATTGTAAAACATTGATTTCATTTAAATTCCTGAAAAAAGTGGGGTGGTGGAGGAATTGGAGGAAGTACTGGCTGTTTTATTCTTTTGTTTATCTTAGAAGGAAATGTCTTCATGGTCTTTGATAACACAATCCTAAAATCACTTACTGTATTTTCACTTACTGTATCTCCTTATTTTTAACCATAATCACCAAACCTTTTGAATCAAGAATATGGCTCCTCAGGTTTCAGCCTAATGTCCCATCCCTGAAGTTATTCTGTGAGTTAAAGTGTGAGACCCTCTTTTTGTTTGCTCTGCCTTCCCAAACTTATGTACTCTACAGGCATATGTGATGTCATGAAGAGTGCAGTAGCCAGTAGACAATACCAATGAGAAAAGACACATTGTTCACCTGACTGATAAGTAGTTTGGGATAAGTATGTGGTGAAGTCCATGCATACTGCAGAGAAGGACCATCTATGAAAGCTATCTCACAAGATTACGAGATTGACAGTGGTGCAAGAAGACTGTGTGAACTATTGGAGATGGAAAAGAAAAAGCATATAGGACTGCTAAATGTGGTGAGATCGACTTGCAGGAGGTAGCTTTACCTGCCCCTTGAACTTGTTTCTAGTTTGATGGAGAACCACTGGTATTTTTCAAGTATCTAATGTGAAAGTCTTGCTAAAGTCAAGAGATACCACATCTAATTCTTTCCCCTTACTCACTAGAATAATTAAGGAAATATTGTTGATTTGATGTGATTTGTTCTTGAAAATTTTATTGGCTGTTGTTTTTTATCACATCAGTTAAGGTGTTTTTTTTTTTCTTTAACTCCTCCCCTGCCTCATACTTTGTTTGGTTATTTACATCCAGAAATAGTGGATATCAACATTACCATTTTGATTTAGCATTTTGCGTTGATTTGCCCAGAAGTAAATGATTACTTATTAGGCAAGGGTTTGGAGAATCAGGGACAATGAGTCATTTATCACCATATATCACCAGAGGAAGAAGGCTTAAGAATCACCAAGTCCACTTCTCAGGCAACAAGGGTATGCTGTTGTTACAAGGGGAAATGCAAAAAAGCGTATTCGTCTTTACCGTATTGACTTGCTCCTGTGTATATAGTTCCATTTCTTCTGCCATGATCCTTGATATAAAGCACTGGCACAAAACTGGAACCATACAGTATTCCAGCTACTACTGCTAGGCTACAGCCTCTTAAACAGAAAAGGCAGAAAAAAGAAATCATTATCCATCAGTTTACTTAAGACCTGTCCAGATTATAATGATACTGTGTAAAACATACTGCTATATGGAAAGTGCTAAGAATGTTACAGAAATTACACTGTCCAGGACATTATTTTTTATAATATAATATAATATAATATAATATTGCATGTATTCCCTAGCTAGGATCTGACTGAACTAGGTACTGTACTGTAATGTAGTGGGGGCTGGGGTGATATGGGCACTAAGGTACTCAAAGGTTGCAGGTTCAAGGTGATAGCAAAAGCACTCACAGCATGGCCTGTCAGATTCCAATGAATCTGCAAATTCTGCTAAATAACTTTTTGCAAGGATACATAAAAGGAAAGGACAAGAATGTTGTAAAGAGACAGTTCTTGCCCTAAACAGCTTACAATTTAAGTTAAAGACAAGACACTACAGTGTACTAGGGTGTCCTAATAACCCATTTGGGAAAATTTAGAAGGTAATGAAATTGTTTTTTAAGTGATCTCTACTAGACAGTTCAGATCATCTTTGCTATAACTAATATTGAGGAAAGTGAGAGAGGCTGTTGAGCAAGTAGACCAATAACCACCTTATTCCAGTTAAAATGTATTTGAATACTAAGTGAAACTGTATTTTCACATCCATTGTAATATTTAAATATATAAATTTGTGTTTTATATTTAAGCAACTTTAAGATGCCCCTGTCAAATAACCAGAATGAAGAAAAGAAATGGTAACTACTTACATCATTCTTTTTCCCTTTGGAGAAAATTTGTCCACCCATGATGTATCAGAACTGGTGTTTACAGAATAGTTGATTGGCTGTGGACAACAGTAGCAATTTGTGTGTCATATGCTTTTAAAATAATTAAAACTGCTGCCCTATTTTACTGAAAAAAATGAAAGTGTCTCACACTGTAGAAAAGGAAATTAAAACCTTCTAACAAAAGATAAATGTGTTGGGAAATAAACCCAAACCAAAAAGACTGGACTGTGATCACCACATTGCAGAAAGAGAAACTAAAATACTGATCAGAATCAGTTTTTGATTTCAAACTTGTCTTCCCTTAAGTTTGGTGGATGCTTCAGTCTTGAGGTATTATTGATTTGTTTTCCTATTATGCTGCTGGCTGTGCATGTCCTTTGTCATAAACCAGTTTTGCTTGCTTTCATTTTCTCACACATGCACTGTATCCTTCTTGATAATACAAGGAGGTTGTACACCAGTATTTGTTCTCTTTGTTTCACCCACAAATAATACTCTACTGAGGTTTTCCCTGACCTGGTAGACTCTAGTGGCTACTATGCTTTTTTAACTGTAGCCTCTACATCAAGCAACCCAGCATGGGCAAGTGCTTGAAGCATTCAGTTCTTCGGCTACCTTTGCTTGTTTCATCCTGCAGGGGTAACAATAGTCTCTGGCTCCATCTATGTGAGACACTGACTGTACAGTTATTACCCAAATTACTGCTCAGTAGCACCAATGAACATCTTTTTTTGTGACACTATTGTGCAGTAGTGCTACTGCGCAGTAGCCTAATAATACTTCGTATTAGTGTCGCATCATGGTCGTTGCCATGTTATGCCTCTGTGTTGGCGTCTTGCATAGACGCAGCCTTTGACCTCTAACCTTTAGTAAGGTCAGGATGCAGAATCAGAGAGCCATAGCTGCTTCTCTGCCCCGTGATGCAGGAGAATCTAGACGAAAAGTTATTCAGCATGTTTTCTTTAGTCAAAATATTCTACATTTTACAGTTTGGTTTGGGCTTCAAAAACTGTACATTAAATTGTTTCCTTCTCAGATGCAGGAAGGATAAACTCTATTTCATATGAGCTCTGTCATAATGAGGCTGGGTTTGTGAGCCATATAAAACATTCCAGTCAAGAAAGGACTTCGGGAAAATCCTTTTCTGTTAAATTTTATTAATCTTACACTATCCATAACTCGATGCTCAGATACAAATTATCTGCTTGTATCTAAACTTTTCCATTTCACCCAGAACATTTATACATCTGGTAAATACTAAGAAACTACTTTTTATACTGATATATGTTTTTACTGTATGTTTTGCTGTAGAAGAAGAATAGAATACTTACTGCCTCGTCCAATAAAGGCCTAGCTTCTGATGAAGCTAAAGAACTTGGAATTTCACTTTTTACAAAAAGAAATATGATCACACTGTAAAGAGGTAATACAATAGTAAATATCACACATCACTTTATAGGAGCATAACATTTAATACTGAAGGATAACAATGTAATGCCTTATCATTTTGTTCCTTATTTTGCTCAGAATTCAACTGTCAGGCTTCAATGTATCTTTGAAATGAATTCTTAGCTTAAAAATATTTAAACTACAGGAAAAAAATTGATCCAATGTACCTTTTATCATAACATCATAGAGATCTTGTAGTTATTTTGTATCATGAAAAAGGTATTGAAATGTCATTGTTCTGACATGCTTTTCCAAAGGCAATTGCCATTACACAACAATTCATTTTCAGACTGTAACAGATATGTACTAGGATATCCAAGGGGAAATTCTATGGCAGCCCAACTTGAAGGGAAAAATAAGGTGCAAATTAATGAGACTCTTTACATTTTTCTAGAATTAGCGCTGGTATCGAAAATGTTTTTAATGCTCCTTTTATTCATAGTTTCTGAATAAGACGCTCAGCAGTTTACTGCACTGAGCTTGATCCAAGATGTGATCTGATAATGAGCGTTTCATGCCCCTTCCGTTAAGGAGAGTTCTGATTTTTATTTATGTTTTTACTCATTTTTCAATTGATAACAGTAGGCCTCTCTTAGAAGGCCTGGTTCTATGATAGGTAGAAATAGCAATTATATGACCCACACATTTAATTTTCAAGTTAATCAGGGAAATATGAAAAATCAGGATTGGCAGGGTTTGATTTTTCTATTTTGATTTGGTTTGGTTTAATTCTAAGCCTATGGATTGCTTCTTGCAGGTCCTTGAGAGGAGGGTCCTTTTTCATGGCTCTTCCTCCTGCAGCCGCATTAAACTAAGATTAAATGTTTAGATTATAAGCTCTAAAGAGCAATGGTCATCCCTTCCTAAGTGTTTGTAAACTGACTCGCCCATAGTCAAAGCTTCCATAAAAAAGTGTAGAGGCCCTTCTGGTGCATCCTGGAGAATGGAATAGTAGGGGAATCCTTGGCAATGAGGCTTTGGAGCTATGGTGTTGGGAATTGGGGAACTTCTAGGGCAAGAGATAACATGGCTTCCAGTGGATTCTGCAGGACTTGGACCTACTCTTTGCCAAGGGTAGAAAGGAGATAAACTTCACAGTTCTGGAACAATGTGAGATGAAATCTATGCAAGATTTCTTTATTTTTTCTTTATAGATTTCCTCCCCTAACTTTTTTCACGGAGTTTTACCATACAATAATTTCCACAGTAAAAAAATTAGAGCCAAGCAAATCATTTTGGAAATGTAACTGAAACTACTCTGTCTACATTTACTATTGAACATGGTATTTAACATTGGATTAAAAATGTGCTGTTCCATTTATGAAGACCGGTTTAGCCATTATCTCAGAATTAGCATGCATCTAATTCTGAAAATATACCTTTGTAACACTGGGTAGGGCAAGTCATGAATTATGGTTCAATTAAACGGTATTTAGAACAATATATTAAACTCACCCATTGTCACTGTCTTTAAATCTACACCTTAGTAATTAAATTAATGATCATTTAAATTACTGAATTTATTCATTATTAGGAAGAATATTTTACCTTAACAGTGAAAGTGTAGCTCCAATGTAATTTAAGGTGGGTTTTGATACCTCTTCTGGATCAATTCCGAACCAACCGAACCTGTAATATTTA